TCTACGATGATATACTTTGAGTTCTACGATGATATATATACTCTAATTTCCACGATGATATACTTTGAGTTCTACGATGATATATACTCTGATTTCTACGATGATATACTTTGAGTTCTACGATGATATATACTCTGACTTCTACGATGATATACTTTGAGTTCTACGATGATATATACTCTGATTTCTACGATGATATACTTTGAGTTCTACGATGATATATACTCCGATTTCTACGATGATATACTTTGAGCTCTACGATGATATATACTCTGATTGCTACGATGATATACTTTGAGTTCTACGATGATATATACTCTGATTTCTACGATGATATACTTTGAGTTCTACGATGATATATACTCTAATTTCTACGATGATATACTTTGAGTTCTACGATGATATATACTCTGATTTCTACGATGATATACTTTGAGTTCTACGATGATATATACTCCGATTTCTACTATGATATACTTGGATTTCTATGATGATATTTTTCGTTTTCTACGATGATAAAATTTAATTATTACGATGATTTACTTTGATTTCTACGATTATATGATTTTTAGTTACTGCGTTGATATGATTTGAATTCTACGTATTTTCATTATCTCCGGTTGTATCGTTCACGGTCGGCCTCGCAATCGGCTCATAGCTTCATATTTGCTTGATGACAAAACAAAACCGGAGCTGCTGCCTTTTTTTTTCTGTTTCAGATTTTGGCCGGTCTCCTGTTAATTCGAGAGCGAATTATGTGTCAGGTTGGCCGTGCGAGAATCTGATACCCCAAAAATAGAGACGTGACAGCGGCGCAAAAAGGATTTGTCCAAAACCATAGTTGATCCCTAGGTTTTATTATTTAGGTTGTATGATTCACTGTTTATGACCCGACCCATTGTTACTTCGGCAACATTGGAAGGGTTCTTCAAAAAACAGTTAGGTGTTAGGCTAGGTACTAAGGTAGTTTTAGTGATTTTCGATACGGACTTGCATTTTGTATAGCTTGTTGGACGCATCGCCGCCCTGATATTTTTGTGAATTTGAAATAAACTATTTTTATGTCCGATTGACCAATAAAGTGCTATTTATAGAACAGTTTTGCGTCAATAAAGTAGCACTTTATTGTACTAGTAAAATAAAGTACTACTTTATTTTACTAGTAAAATAAAGTGCTACTTTAATGCCTACCTGGACTACCTGCCAAAGTGAAACAGGTCCTGACAACCTGCCAAGGTGAAACAGGTATACCTACGCGAATTTTACTTTTTTCATTCAATTTTTTCAATTTTTAACAAAAACCAGTTAGAATCGTACATAAAATCATGTATATAACGCTCACATAAACAGGCATTATTGACTCATTATTTAATAGCCTCGCTCGCAAGCTCGCTCGGCCATAAAATTATTCGTACAATAAAGCCTTATTTTATGTACTTGTTATATAAATAGCTATTATTGCCGAAAGTCTAGCTTTTTCTTAAGGTACGGTTTGTTAGGAGAGTACGCGTCGCACAACTGACAACGTAAACGTTGTCATTGGTCAGGTATGACCATAGGTATGACGTACACCCGTTTTCTCACGTCAAAAGACGGGTGTACGTCATACCTGAACCAATGACGACGTTTACGTTGTCAGTTGTGCGACGCGTACTCTCCTAACCAATGAACTATAACCAAAAACTGGAATGCTAACACATAAGGAAGAACGTGAAGCCTAGTGCAGCTGTTGCGGAGGGGATACCTGTTTTTGTCGCACTCATTATGTTAAATGGCGAAAATTGCTTCCAACACGTATTCCAATTGATGAAACCTGTGAAGGGAAATATGACAAAACTTTCGAAAACGTCATATGTTAGCGAGCAACAGAAAAAAACAACATTCCCCGTTGTGGCATCTGTCTTTCATGGCTTCATTTTTTTGGCAGATATGGCACTGTGTGCGCATTCCAGTTTTTAACTCTAGTTCATTGCTCCTAACAAACCGTACCTTTACAGGTACCTATGCCAGTCGTCAGATTATGAGGTGTACACGTTCACACACGTTCTATCAACGCCCATAAATATTGATTCCTACCTTAGACCTTGATCATATTTTCGAAAATTATGAATTTAGATTACCAAATAGACAAAAATTTATTGATTTGTTATTATACTATGCAAGGAGAGTAGATACCTATATGAGTATCCATTTTTGTTAGAAATTTAAGTTAAAATTGTCCAGCTCAGGTACTACTATTGGTACCACTCATTAGAATTCTACACATTTTCCAATTGTATTTCAGAAGGTGTGAAATGTATTTCAGAATAGTCAAATGTAGTTCAGAAAGCGTCAAATGTATTTCAGAATAGTTAAATGTATTTCAGAAAGCGTCAAATGTATTTCAGAATAGTTAAATGTATTTCAGAATGCGTCAAATGTATTTCCGAATAGTTAAATGTATTTCAGAATAGTTAAATGTATTTCAGAAAGCGTTAAATGAACTCCAGAATAGTTAAATGCTACAATTAAGCTCCTGTTGGGTCAGTCGGGCTCACGTAGGAAAAACTGCACAGACAGATAGTCTGGCTAGCCAAACGGCGAACTCCAAAAGAATTTGCTGCTTTGCCAAACTTGACGGAAACAATGATAAACAAGTTGGTGACATATTTTTTTTTGCTGTATGGGCATGTGTAGTATTTCGAAATAGAAAAAATCCGGCAACATTGCGAAATGATGGATGTGGAGAGGCGTGATTATTCAGAGGCATGATTCTATTGGTTAGACTCTGAACGACAGCACCAGTGACGTGGTTATTTGCGAAACTGGAGAATTTTTTTCTAATAATTTTATTGGTTTATTTCCTTGGTGTTTCCGGTGCCACTGAACCGAAAGACATGGCTGTCATCAGGCGGTGTCAGTTGAGGTGTCAGTGGATATTTTTAGGTTACGCCCCAGTTTTCTTCCCCCTTTCGTCTCTACCAAGTTACCACTTGCCAAACAATAGGTGGGTAATTTTTTGTGTCGCCTCCCTCCTGAATTATTTCCGCCGAATTTTCACTTTTTGAAATGCTTTTGGCTATTCTGAAATACATTTTACGCTTTCTGAAATACATTTAACTATTCTGAAATACATTTAACGCTTTCTCAAATTCATTTAACTATTCTGAAATACATTTAACGCTTTCCGAAATGCATTTGGGTATTCTGAAATGCATTTAACACTTTCTGAAATACATTTGACACTTTCTGAAATACAATTGGAAAAGGTGTAGATGTTGTAGATTGAGAAAAAAGTTCCTGTAGAATAAGTATTGGATTAGTAAGTACACCCGGTAGCTTGCGGTAGCCTGTGAGTTTGTGGAAGTGAGTACCTAGCTATAAACATTGATGGATTAATACGAATTTATTTTTACATAATTACAATTATTTATACACGAAAATAATACAACAATAACAAACAATATTCACAGTGAATGTGGTCGTAGGGCACGTAGGGTAGGCTTATTTGTTCATCACTGATGGAACGTGGAACGTTATTTATAACGTCAGGGCGTTAACGTTTAATAGTACTAGTACCTTATATTACAGTAGAGAAAATAAAATTTGTGTGTCGTTCTACACTCAATTTAAGAAGTTAATTAATTTTCATCGAAAACTAATCCATTCTAGGCTAACCGGAAATGGATTAGTAAGTTTGCTTCAAGGTGTGAATCTCAGATACTCAACTCAACTCAACTCAAATACAGGAGCGAGCTGCGATAATGAATCTCATGTAACTGAATATCTCGAAGATATTTGCAACTTTAATTTTGGTGGGAGTGCTTGTCACATCACTGTATCTAGTTTCTTGATGCGATCCTGAACAATAGGAGTTAATCAAATTTTTCTTCAGAGATTCTCCAAAGATTTCCTTATACTCTAAAGCCAGTTCCTTCGGCAAACCTGGTGCTCCCAATTGATTTCTTCTTAAAATGCATTTCGTCATCCAAAAACGACCGACCTCAAGTTTTTTATTCCTGATGCCAAATAAAACATTTTGCGGTCCTTTGAAATGTGTGAACTGTGAACGCAAAACAAAGTGAATCAAGTGGTATTGATCAGTTTTATTCGTTTGTGTACTTTAGACCCCCGCGCACTAGCGGCAAAGTCACTATATGTATCTTCACTTCTTCACTTTTTGACTGTATTCTATGCATAGAATAAGGTTTATAGTGGGTATAGAATGGACAGTCCCGTTACACGGATCGGACAACCATTTGTGGCGCCATCTGTTTTCTATGAAATGAGCTCATCCCATTGTAGCAGCTTGTAGAGCAGTTTGCTTCTTATTTTTTTTAGATTTGCTTTTTATTTATTTTATAATAAAGACAAAATTTGATGCAAATTTAACAAATAACGGTTTATTACAAAGAGAGAAGAAAAATATGTTGGCTTTTCGAAACTTGTCAACAAAAGCCGCTTTCCAGCTGCCCATTTTGAGCACGAAATCGAGCTTTTGAGCGCGCAAATGCTTCAAGCGCGTGTTTGTGTTCCAGCAGTACTGCGCTCCGAGATCTGCTAACTTTTCAAATACAGAACACTGTGCTGCACCGTGCTTGAAGCACACAGCTGGAAAGCGGCTAATGTCAACACTTAACAACACAGAATTAAATAACAATAATAGTCTTTACACTAAACATAACACTGTGAAAGTCCACAAATATACACAGATAATGCTCTATCACTACGAAACACTTTTTCAACGAACAGAAATATTAAAGCAACAATAATAAGCACAACGTTTTCCAGTTCATCGTTTTGTCATCATTTGTCATTTCATGAATTTATGTCGGTTCATGTCATAATTTAATTAATAATCTCGTCACCCTTCTTCTGAAGCGGAGATACCTTGGAGATACAATCCACAACGCGTACGCAAATCAATTGATAGCGCCTCTACCGGGTATGAAATAAGTTTTTCATCGAACCAAGTGGTACATTTGAAGATCGCGGGGTATGATTCTATGACTGTCACAAAACAAACATGACTGTATTCATGCCCACAGAACTTCATGCCAATGACATTGATTCATGCCATGTGGGAATAGTCAAAAAAGTTTGACATCCATCAAATTGAGAATTTATAAAGGGCAGCTGAAAAAAAGATAGTTAAGCAAAATAATGGCCGACGTTGAAAAAGAAAAAAAAGAGGAGCCGAAAAAAGTTGTCCATACCTATCCACTAATAAGGTATTCCGATATGCCTGAAGAAGTTAAAATGGAGACAATGGAAATGGTGGTGACTGCTTGCGAGAAACATTCAAATAGCAATGAAGCCGCAGCGCGAATGATCAAAACGGAAATGGATAAGAAACTCGGACCGCCGTTCCACGTTCTTGTTGGTGAAAGTTTCGGATTCGAAATATCTTACGAATGTAGCAATTTGCTTTATATGTTTTTCGGAGGAAACTTGGCAATAGTTATTTGGAAGTGCTAATAATAAGTAAGGATTTAAATACTTGTCAGTGAACGCATAATACATATTATCCATCCTTTGAAATCATATACAAAAATAATCGACATAAAATGTATGTTAATTTATTAAAATGAAGCCATCTTTTTTATGTATAGTTTTAAATAAATAAATAATTCTATTATTGATCCAAAACTAAATCCGTTGCACATCATCCCATCAATCACACAAACCACCACCTGCGTGTATCTTACACTGGGGAAACTTCAGACTTCAGCTGTGATATGACAGCAACTTTTTTATTTTAAAATAGTTAGGGCTTCGTATATGAGCTAAGTTATGCTCGATATAAATTAATATACAGTGAACACGTAAAGGTTGGAATAAAATCCATAAAATATACTGGGTTGATATCTCTCAAAAATTCTCACACGCGTCAATTTTTGAATTTAATTAGGCAATTCAATCCATCTGTCAAAAAGGAAAATTCAATGTGGCGTGGCGGCCAAGCAAGTTTGTTTTGAATATGTTTTTATGCATATTTTAAATTATTTTGCATACAGTTTCGCTTACAACTTTGATTTTTATTATTTAATAACATATATGTTGACTAGGTTCCTAAACTATTAATTCGGGCAGAAACTAGAGATTTTTTTGTGTTTTTTGGCCCATGTGTGGCCGCCACGCCATCTTGAATGTCACGTGGTTTGAATTGCCTAATAGTGGCCGTTTTAACATAGGAAATTTGTATGCTCTCGCGTATATGGAGATCAAAGGCGTTTTCTCGCGTCCACTTTTTCGAAACTGGTTCAAAACTGTTTTGAAAAACTACATTCTCGCGCTAAACCCATGACGTCACGTCAAAATTGGTTCAAACCGTTTCGAAATACAATCCAATCCACGTTTTCAAACCATTTTCTCGCGCCGAGAAATTATGACGTCATGGTGACATTACTTAACCCACTTTTGAAACATTTGAGACGCGAGAAAACGCCTCAAATTCGAAGTTTTCGTTCAAGGTCAAAAGACGGCGGTGTCGCCAGGGGCGTGCGGTGAGATTTTGAAGTACAAGAGGCGAAGCGAATCGCAGTGGGCGCAGTGCTTACTGCGGCTTGCCGGCAAATAGCAGCGCGTGGCAAGGGTTAAATCGTTATCTGGGCGGTCAAAGTGAAAAACAAAAATGGGGATTATGGGATAATGGGACAAAAATCATAGCATTTAGCGTTTGTTCTATTGGATGGGGATTTCAATAAAATAATAGATATTTACGATACAAGTGAGTTAACAGATACGCGTGTGGATTAGAAAGTTGCACAACGATTGCGTGCATAAATCAATGTATAAGGATAACGAAACATTTTGCCTTGATTTGTCATGCTAGGAATCGGTTTTTACCCATATATGATCGAAAAAATTCAGAACCGGTACCATCTGTCGTCCGGAGTTCCAAACAGTGGGTATGATTTTGTTTCTTATATCCAGCTAACAATAGCAAACCCATGAATGCTTGCAATGCACTACAGTCTGGTGTAGTGCACTAAAGAAATTTTCAATAAACCAACTATAACTTTCTAGCTACCAAAGCGCAACTGCCTAAGCACCTAGTAAACACATCGGCCGTAGGTTACATCGAGGGGCATGAGTGAGTGAGATACCGGATAGGGTTTTTACCGCCCTTTTGGGAGAAATGGTGTATTTTATACACCGGCGCGGGTAGTTAAAGGGTAATTATGGCACATGGTGCACGAGTATCGCGCTCCATTTCTATGCTGTGTGCATCGATTTGGACTTCATTCATACGATGACGGGCTGCAGATGGATCGGTACCGCAGATTACATTGATTTTTTTGGAAATAATCAATAAAATCAATATTTTCGGAATTAATACCTTCGACAGGTTGCTCCGAGCTAGGAATTTAAGAGATAGCTTGTGTCAGTCTTGACTTACAATCCCGACTTATGTGACATATGTTAGGTATGTGCTTATAATATCCTCAAGTAGGTATGTCCTAGTCACAAGCTCAGCATGTACTGAACACATATCCACAGAATATGCTCCAAATGTACCTACTATATTCTTCAGGAATGTACATATCATGGGATATTTATATTCATGACATATGCCTTGGCACATCTATAGTGTATAAGTAGTATATGACATGAATTCCAGAAATATGCGACAATAGTGTCTGTTTCAAAATTAAATAGAACAGGTAAAAAGTTAGTGTAAACGCTTTTTGCGGGGACCCTGTAGTATTTGCAATTGATCTGACCAAGCGTACAGTTAGCTAGGAATCCTATCCAAATGTGCAATTAGTTACAACGATCGTAAATACCACAGTGTGTCCGCAAAAAGCATTTCCACCTGTTACCTGCTGTTCTATTTAATTTTGGGACATACATCACATCAAGCTGACCTACCTTTCTTCTTTTGCTGGGACACCTTTTGTCCTAGCGAAAAAACTGTCTTTTCACACTCAGGAACAAATAATTATAATTGGAAATAAGGCTAAAAAAATAAAATGTTAACAAACTCATATGAACATATATTCAAATAAGCTTCCAATATTACAAAAAATATGAAGTGTGTAAATAATGTATGGAATGAATAAAATTTGCAACAGACTTGAATGTGAAATTCTTTCTTCCACAGCACAGCCCAAGAGCTTGAATGGGAAACAAACCTGGGAGGAGTGTCAATGTTTGGGAAAACCACAATTTAGACTGGAATTTGTGGCTGCCGATCAACATTACTAGCGGAAGAGGTTCTGTCACTGCTGGAATAGGAAGTCATAAGTGTCTCAACCCTAAGATTTTCCTGAATTATTTTTAATTAGTATAATTATAAACCTAATTTACATTCTCACATATGAGGTAAACAATATCGAAATAAAATATTAACAACTACCTATACTTACCTTATCTTCCAGTTTTTTCTGTGAAAGAAAATGGAAAAAATAAAGAAATCACTGAAAACATACACAAAAACAAAGGCCACAACTGCCACAAAAGATCTTTTGACTTTTGTGAACAAGATAAAACAGACGAAGCCGCGGGCACGCACGTACTGAGAATCGAGATAACCGAGAATCAAAAAAGAAACTAGAAAGAATGGAAATCTTAAATTGAGAAAATTACAATGATTAAAATGAAAATGTTTGATGTGAAATGAAGAGCCTGTATAGGTTAGGTTGGCAACTGAGAAGAAAAAAGCGCGAGCGCAGCGTGACAGTTGACAGCGATTGGGAACTGGAACGTAGCCTATGTTCCAATATCCGCGAATGGTATTTTATTATGAGATTAACATATATCTGAGTCTAGCGAGGCATTTCTTCTTATTAAATTAAAAATCGAGGATTTCTCATCATTCAATAAATTTTATAAGCGCTGTTTGCACCTGCGCGAATTGACGCGGCAGGTGTGTTGGAGAGAATACACTTTTAGAATATTCTTAACACATGTTACGAATGTACTCGAGAGAATATCTGTACTTTTAAAATTCATATTAATATGATAAGAATTATTACTTACATTTTCATAAAATCTATTGAAATAATTACTTATTTCAGTTTTCGATGGGATAATATCTAATTTTTGTTTTATTTAAAATATGCTTTTTCGGATGTACCTGGCATATACTTCGAATATACTTGAAGTAAGTGTACTTTTTATGTTCCTTTCCCGAATATGCTCAGCATGTGCGCTAAGGAATATTTCAATTGGTATATACTTACCATATGCTATACATTTACTGAAAAGAACATTCCTAATATATATATAGTAAGCACATGCTAAGAATATACCTTAAAGAATGTCCTTTAAGGAACACTGAGCGCATATGCTCAGCATGTGAATGTTCTTTCAATGCTATGTGGGATGTACCTTATTTTTTCAATAAAAAATGTTATTGGAAACTGATGTGCCTACTTAATTTTATAATTTTCAATTTTTGTTTTTTTTTTGGAAAAAGTTCTGACTTCCAGAAAATAGAACGAAAATTGAAAATTATTGAATTAGGTAATTTTTAATCCATAATCCTAAAATTCATTCACCTATTAAAGTCATACTAGAAACATATAGAGGATGTTTCTTACACCTGCCCCGGATGCATCTAAACATTCCGGTATAGGATTCAGCACCTAGGCATATTTCATTGGTCCGTTTGAATTCGGACCGCCAATTAATGCGGAGTGCCGAAATCCGTACTCGAATGTTGAACGGTGCTGAGCCTCAGGTCGGAATGGTATATACATATACTATGTGGAGTGCCGAATCAAAGGTCAAAATGTTAAACAGTGCCCAGCTGCAGGTTGGAATGTTACTCCGTTAGCGCGGCACAAAATCAACAAACAAACTTTATTTACTTTTTGTTACACATCTATTTTATTTCAACGATACATTTCAAAAAATCTTGGACAATAATTTGCAGTGGCGGATCCAGGGGGGGGATTATAAAAACCTGAATCCTGGCAAATTAGAATAAAAAATTTTGAAAATAAATACCCTAATTTATCTATCTTTTTTTTTGTATCTGTGGTGCTTAGTTTAATTAAGATATCAATTGAAGCCAGGCATTAGCAGTTTTTGGATTTTCCTTTCTTATTATTTCTTTGATCCACTTTTTTATAAGCACTATGATGGCATACAAAAACATATCTAAAAAATTTTCCAAAGTCTATTCGCATCCAAGAAGATTCTACGTCATTGAATTGACATTGTACAGGGTGGCCCGTTTAAGACCGGCCTATACCTTATCTCGAAATCTACAAAGGCTGTGAAAAAAACTTAAATACAAAAGTTGGTTCAAATAAAATTATCTACAACTTTTTTGTATTGTTTTTGTAGACACTCTACTATATACAGGGTGGACAAATAAAAATTTCATTTTTTCAAATGGAACACCCTATATTTTAATACATTTTTACATAGCTTTTTGGAAGAAAACTTCAACGATATACTGGTCATGTCTCTGTGATATACCATTTCGAACTTATCAGCGATTATTTTCAGGCTTTGGGGTGATTTTAAACAGTCATTGTTACGTTACTCATAAACTTTTAAAAAACATTTTTTGCATTATATTTTTTTATAAAATAATGC